AGAGCATCCTACACACGCTCCAAAGTCTTCCTCTTTGGACCTTCACCACCACTCACAACGTACAAATTTGGACATTCTACAACTAAATAACACTTCCGCTGATTTCTTTCCAGTATGGCTTCATTTAAACCGCTCCTAGGATTTCCAACATATTAAACCGTTTCCCACGACAAACCAGGCCCAGAAACCTCCTTACAGAAGCAGAGAATTGGGGGTTGAAGGAGGCGGGGCTACAGGGCAAAAAAAGAAAAAAAGAAAAGAAAAAGAAAGAAACAAAGAAACAAAGAAAGAAAAGAAAAATGAACCCGAGGTGTCTGAAGGTATCACATATTTTTCAGTTTGCCTGGAGCTGGCCACAGGAGCTCCCTTCCCTTGCAGGTCCAAAGAGCAGCCGGCGGTAGCGGACTAATCCTCAGCCCTAGACTACCTGTTAGTAGGAGAACGGTATTTTCGTTCCACTAAACTTCCCCAGCCCCTTTCCGTTTCCTCCTAGTCACTTTCGACCCGTTTCCACCTTCCCTGAAAACAGTACAGCGCGTCACTCTTCCTCCCTCCTCACCTTAATCCCTTTCTCCAAACCCCGACGCCAGTGCTTGGAGATAGTAACTAGGGAACCTGGCGTGTGGAACTGCATCTTGGGACAAGTAGTTCCAGGCCATAGAAAGCAGTGAAAAACTACAGTTCCCAGGAGACACTTCAATTACCTCCGTTTCCTCAATGAGGCCCTCTCAATACCAGCCTCTTTTAAAGACCCCTCAGCCACGTTCGCTGTATGGGAAAAGCCTTTTAAAGAGATTTTTAAGGTGTTTAACTCTATTATCCCGAGAGCATGCTGGGGATTCAAGTGAGAAGTAAGCCCACGCTAGAGAAGAAACGAGGTTCGTCAGCTAGTTTGGCACGTGGTTAGATAGCCGCTGTGACAGCAGTCAGGCACTTGGTGTGGTCACCTAAGAGGTGTGGCCTCCGGCGGCGGCCCCGGGAAACCCTGTGGGCCTGCGCGCGGCTCTTCCTTTCCGATCCGCCATCTGCGGTGAGTGTGTGCTTTGCGGGCGCTCCCTGGCCGGCGGGCTACCGTCTCCCTGTCTTGTGTCCCCAGTTCTAACCCGCCTCTTCCTCTTCCTGCACCTCAGGTGGAGTCGCCGCCAAGATGCAGATTTTCGTGAAAACCCTTACGGGGAAGACCATCACTCTCGAGGTACGGGCCAGGTGGTGTGAGGGGCCCGAGGCTTGAGTAAGGCCCGGACGTGGATTCCGGCACCCGCGCTCTTTCTGTGGGCAACGTGTTTCTAAGTCAGGGAGGGGCAGCCTGGCCCTGAGTTCCGGGCTGTGGGCTGAGCAGGGGCCTGGGGCTGGTTTTGCGTGCCTGAAATCTGGGCCTAGCGCTTCCCTGGCGGCGATCAAAGCAGGGGTCCTGCGAAGGGGCGCCGGGCCGGGAGAGGGTGGCGCGTGTGGCGCAGCCGGCGCCTTCCGCCCCCCCCCCCCGCCCACGGGGCTGAGGGAGTGCGCTCGCTCGGCTGTCCGGGGTGGGGGCCAGCCCACCGGGTGAGGCGGCCGCTCGGGGGGGGAAACTGCGGCCCCCCCGCCCCCCGGCTTTGTTGTGGGGTGACAGCCAAATTGAAGTGAGTTTGTATTCTAGTTTGTTAACAATTCATTGGCATTTTAAAACTCTTAGGTTGAACCCTCGGATACAATAGAAAATGTGAAGGCCAAGATCCAGGATAAGGAAGGCAAGTAGTATTTCTTAAGTGCAGAAGTACTAACTTCCGGAAGCTCCAGCCTCCCTGCGGGTGCTACACAGGCGGGGTCCTGGCGGGGTCCTGGCGGGGTGGGAAGAGGTCAGATGGACCGGGTGAAGTGCTTTTGGAGTGACGTGGTAGACACACGTTTATAAGCATGGGACCAAGCTGCAGTGCCATTTCACGTGTGTGAACTTGGATGACCTATTTCTCTACACCCGTTTCCTCATCTGCAAGATGAAGATTGTATTAACCTGTATTAAGTATTGGTAATGATTACACAAGGTAAAATTTGTAAACATTTAAAACCATGCTTATCCTGCAGTAAGAATGCTCACAGCTATTAGTGCCATTTCATTCACAATTATGTGTAAACCTTCAGCAGAGGCTTATTCTGTGGTGACTTAATTTTTTTTCTTTTTTTCATTAGGAATTCCTCCTGATCAGCAAAGACTGATCTTTGCTGGCAAGCAGCTGGAAGACGGGCGTACTTTGTCTGACTACAACATTCAAAAGGTCTGTTATTGGAAAGAGCAGCTCTTTAAATATAATCTTAAAATTTTTGACAAATACATGTAAGTGGGAAGACCGCTGTTAGAGTAGCAAGGTGTCCCAGGTAATGCTTACACTAACATTTGAGAAGCACTGCTGTAGTTTCTCACATCTGGATTTTGCAGATTGCATCCCATGGTGTAATTTAATGTGTTAATTAATCTCCCTAGAAACTAGTTAAGAATCAGACATTTTTCCCTCCAAGACTCCTTTATCTTCCTACTGCATGTAATCGGATGTGTAGCACTAGTTTTCCATTCTTACTGGGGCATGAGCATTAATGTAATCGCTTTTAAAGCCTGTTTCATGCTCTGTTTCATTAACAGGAGTCTACTCTTCATCTTGTGTTGAGACTTCGTGGTGGTGCTAAGAAAAGGAAGAAGAAGTCTTACACCACTCCCAAGAAGAATAAGCATAAGAGAAAGAAGGTTAAGCTGGCTGTCCTGAAATACTACAAAGTGAGCCTATTTCTTTCTTTATTTCTCAGTCATACAGACTTATTTTGTATTTAAAAACTAGCATTTTAATTTTGGAAGAACAGTCACTAAATGCCCAGGAACACCTGGAGGAAAATGATAATAGAGCCTTAGGATTGAAGAGTTAAATGTAGAAAAATTAAGTTATGTTAAATTGGAAGAACACATGTGATACTTGTAAAAATCTTGAGGCGGGGGAAAAAACTGAATTGGGGAAAAATGTTAGGAAGGGAAAATATTGGTAGATCAAACTTAAAAAAATTTTTACTATGCTTTTTAAACAGTAACTTTAAGTAAAGATTAATCTCTCTGCTGGAAAATGAACACTGACTATGCTGTTTACAAAAGAGAAATACAAATATGTGAACCAAAGAAACCCAGTTGAGCCCTTACTGGTGTGGCTTAGTGGGTTGGGTGTCTTCTGCAGATAGAAAGGTTGCTAGTTGGATGCCCAGTTGCCACACACCAGGGTTGCAGGCCAGATGCTGGAGGCATTTGAGAAGCAAATGATTGATGTTTTCTCTTTCTAAAAATGAATGAATAAATGAATAAGATCTTAAACACAGTTGAAAGAGAGCCAATTTATTAAAAATAAATTTTTGCCTATTAGGCAAATTTTAAGATTTTATTTTTAGAGAGGCAGAAGGGAGGGAAAAAGAGAGATCTGTTGCCTATTACATGTGCCCTGACTAGGGACTAAACCTGCAAACCAGGCATGTGCTCTGACTGGAAATTGAATTGGTGACCTTTTGCTTTGCAAGACGAGCCCAATCGAGCTACACGGTCAGGGTTTAGATTAATAAATTTCATTGGCATACCTGGTTTCAAACACTTTAATATGAAAGTATTTTTCCTGTTTAATTGTTGAACAAGCTTTTGATAATGGGGCTTACCTTTAGCTGCTTGTTGCAAACTAGGCTTGATTTTGAAGTCACATCTGGGTTCAGTTCTTAGCTGTGTCTATCACTTTGCGTTCCAAGGCTGGACTTGAATGAACTCTGAGCAAATGTGTTGTAGTAATTGCTGGTGAGGATTTGGGATGTTTTGGTTTACAAGTACTAAAAACTACCATTGTGTGATTAGATAGCTAAATATTTTGAGTCACTTAGACTTCGAAATATGTTGTAAAATTATGTTAAGTAACAGGTTTGTACTTTTTAGGTGGATGAGAATGGCAAAATCAGTCGCCTTCGTCGGGAGTGTCCTTCAGATGAATGTGGTGCTGGAGTTTTTATGGCCAGCCACTTTGACAGACACTATTGTGGCAAATGTTGTCTGACCTATTGCTTCAACAAACCAGAAGACAAGTAATTGTATATGGGTTAATAAAAGACATGAACTAACATTTAATGAATTGTATTCCAGTGAGTTTTTTTAAGCATCCAATTGATGGATCACACCATTTCTCTCAAGTTGTACATTGGCAGACTTCCATTTTATTTACTACCAGCCATCTAGATACTAAAGCAGTTTGTGTTTCTGTCAGTTTAACCTCGGTGCTACTGGCATTTTTGACCAGGTAATTCGTGGTGGGAGCTGCCCTGTGCATCATAGTGATGAGCATCCCTGGCCTCTACTGCTTAATGCTAGTAGCACTCCACCCCCATTAGCACAATCAAAAGTGTATGTATACATTGCCAAATGACCCCTGGGTGAGGGAGGATTAACTCCTACCCCCAAATTGAGAAACACTGATTTGTGTGAATTGGTGTTAAAGCACTGCCTAAAAAAGAGGCTATGGCATATTTCATATACAAAATGTAAAGACAGCTGTAAATTGCAAATTCAAAAATTCACCTTGAGTCCCTGGATGGTTCGTCTGGGATGTTTGCTGTCTGTAGTGCAAGGGAATATGCTTCATTGTTCAGTGCTGAGCATGAACTTAGGAAGGGATTCAAGCTACTAATGTTGGCTTACTAGTCCTGTTGAAAAATAGTTTCAAGCCTACTTGGTACCATATTTTGTCCAAGGAGCTCGATTCAGAGAGGTTGCTTTTCTTGATACCACTCAAGTAAAACATTCACTTGGCATTCATTAACTGATTATTACATTCTATGGTGGGCCAATAAAATCACTTTAACACCAGGATTTCCAGTTGAAGGCATCCTAAATATTTGTTTTCCTATTTTGACAGTTAATGCATGTTAATGTTTGATAGAATTACTTGGGCATTTACTGACCAGTAAGTGGTGAGTTCTTACCTTAAATAAAGTAGTTGCTTGATAATAAAGTAAGATTATTTAATCTTTACATTTTTAATACAATTTTAAAATCCAGGGTCCCAAGAAGTCTTGGCTAAAACTTCCTTTTCCTCATAACAAACAATTTCATCTCCCACTTTAAATTCTATCCTTTCTTCATCTAAGCTGAGACCACAATCCATTCCAGTTCTGATGACTGAAACGTCGTCTTTATGGTGTTTCAGCGAGGTTAATAAGCCTTAAAAAAAAAAAAAGTTCATATAGTCAACAAATAACATAGTTAGCTAAGTGCTGTGTAGTCTGGTGTTAAAATTACACTGGAATTGTTAAAAGTTTTACAGTCTTGTTAAACAAGACTAAATACTGGGGAAACAAGATTTGTAGTGAAAGATAAACCTCCCTTTTTAAAGACAGGCTAACTGCAGAGGATGGGCCTATGTACTCAGGACTTGAAATAAGATAAACCAGGATAAAAGACATTGCAGGCAAAAGGTCAAAGGACTGAAGCAAGTATGATATACAGTGGAGGAGACATGCCTGGAAAGAGTCTTCAAGGAGTTTAGGAAATCATACTAAGGGACTAATAATCTTGGAGTATCAGAGCTAGTAAGGGAGCAAACCCAGCAACTGGAGATCAGCTACCAGCAAGGAGTGGCTTGAACTAGGATTACAGGAGTGAAAGACAGATTTTGGATGGTTACAGAGAACTGTGAGGTTCAGGTGACTGGATATATCATAGAAACAGATTTTGACGTTGCTTACTTACCCTTCCAGATAACATGTCCGTTACGGATTAACTTAAATTTTTTTTGCTTTTCCAATTGTCCCTTTTGGACTCTGCAGCCAGCCACAGGAACTTTTTTCTTCCCTTCTGTTATGGAGAAGGTAGCTAGTATAGAAGCCTCACCTTCAGGAAGAAGAGAACATTGAGTACAGAAAATAAAAGATTCTGAAATATACATAATTTCTGACATTGTGCAAGGCAAGAATTAAAGGTGTGAGAAAAATACAAACTCGGGCATGGAAGGCCTGGTTTTCTTTGACTCCACCAACTTTATATTTCTGACCACTGTTCCAAATAAAAATGAAATTCTTAGATATTCTTAGAAAACAAAATCACAGTAATACATGTGCTTACCAAATGAGTGAATGAAAGAAAAATGTAACTCACTTTTCTGGCTTAGCAAAATGCACTAGGAGATAATAATCAATGATAAGAGTAAGCAAAAAAAAGAAAAAAACTCATGGATATGGACCACAGTGTGGTGATGGCCAGGGGAAGAAGGATAGAAGGAGGTGGAGGAGGGTATTCAAAAAAGAAAGCAAAAGATTAATTAGTACAATTCCTGTCTGTTCCATGAAAACCTAGTTTTCATCAGTTTCTCAATATATTTTCTTGGCTAGATCATGCGTTATAACCTGATTTTTTTTTAACTTTTTTATTATATACTTTTTCCATTACCATTTAGTCCCCTTAAACCCTCCCCCTGACCCCGATTTATTTTTAATCTCACCACTGGTAATTCATACCCACTTAAGAGTACTAATTCTGTGTCTCAGCTTAACCTTTTCAGTAACTGAAAATTAAAACAAATTCCAATAATGGCGTCGTACCATACACTATAATGGACCGATTTCCCAGGGTTAGTGTTAGCTCACTGGTGCTTGCTTACTCCTAGAAACATTCGGTTTTCCAAATTGCTCTTAGCACAAGAACATACAAACCTCTGTATGATCATGTTAAATGAGTCAGAGAAGCCTTAAATAAGTCTACTATAGACCAAAAATGCAAATACTGAATCTCACTGAGGAAATAGCAGCCAAATCCAAATTAAAGAACATTCTATCCCTGGCTGGTGTGGCTCAGTGGTCAACGCACTGGCCTGTGAACCAAAGGGTCACTGGTTTGATTCTCAGTCACGCCACATGCCTGGGTTGCAGGCTAGGTCTACAGGAGGGGGTGAGTGAGAGGCAACCACACATTGATGTTTCTCTCCTCTCTGTCATTCCCTTCCCCTCTTTCTAAAAATAAATAAAATCTTTTTTAAAAATTAAAAAGAACTTGTAAGTCACTGGCCTCTACACTTCAAAAATGTCACAGTCAAAAAAAAAAAAAAAACAACTCTGAAAAATTAAATGTAATCTGTAATCCTGGATTAAGAGAAAAACATACCTATAAATTCTTTATTGGAGCAATGGACAAAATCTGAATTATGGACTGTGGTTTAGATAATAGTACTAATGTTAAATTTTCTGAGTTTAATATTTATTCTATGATTTTATAAGAGAACATCTTTGTGCTTAGGAAATGCAAGTATTTAGTGGCAAATGGACACAGTATTCCACATTTACTTTCAAATGATCAGAAAAAGAAATTAGGGGAGACGGGGAATAGAGCAAATGGGGCAAAATGTAAATAACTGGTGAATTGGGTAAAGGATATATGGGAGGGAGTTCCTTATACTTTTCTTGTAAGTTTTCTGGATATTTAGAACTACCCTCAAAATAAAAAGTTAACAAAAACAAAAACAGAAAAACCTTTATGGGGAGGAAAAAGAACACATGATCCAGCTGTCATAAATTTAGCCTATAATCTGGCCAAGGGATATGCTAGAAAGAATATTTTTAAATATTTAACATTTAAATATAAAGTAAATTTTCTTCCCACGGTAGATTTCTCTGCCAGTTCCAGGGCAAAATCAATGGTTCCTTCAATGACATAATTTTTGTGCCTCCCACCACAGTCTAATTTACATTACAATTGTTCATGTGTAAACTTAAGGTTAAGTTCTTATTGCCTTACTTGTCTTGTACCCTCAGGATCTAAGCGTTTATAATACATATGAAGTTACACTGAAAATTCTTATGTGCAGTAGTCATTTTTTCTAGAGCACAAGGATATGTATTGGAACAGGGAATGCAATTCAACAGTAAAATACATTTCCCCAAAGTTGCTTTCAAGTGTCATTTACAGCATCTAAGATATGAATGTTTAACAGTCAGTGAACATTCACCTATTGTATGCTCTTCCACAGTGCAGGGCAACCTGCTGCTCAGTTCTTCCTGCAAATCTTCAACAAGACGGTAAATGATTTTGTGAAGTTTAATTTTTACTCCTTTCTTTGCAGCTGACTGCTGGATAGCATTGCCTGCGTTCACATTGAAGCCATATATAACACCTGGCAATCAGAAATACAGTCAATAAAGTAGCACAAGTATCGTTCTAAGCAGTTTATCTTTCAAACAGAAACTCAAATCTAAATTGTTTTATTTTCTTTTACATAAATTAAAAGCAAGATTGGGCAATGAGAAATTCTATAATTTTTTCTCATGAAAACTAGTAAATTTTCAAATTAATAAAAGGATTTTATAAATTCTATTGTGGCTTGTTTAACAAGGAAAATTTCTTTGCTATTCAAAAAGTCTGCATTTAAGGAACATTATTTTAGGTGCCCATAGTGTGTGAGGTGGTATGCTAAACAAAGTTTTAATTTTTATACCAGAGATACAAGAAAAAAAATTACTAGGGCTGAAATATTACATTATTTTAATAACAATTCTACAACTTTTATGGTTTACTCTTAGGTATTCAGCTGCTCAAAAATACTTAACTGGTAAAGTTTAAGAGATTTAAGGAATGAGCCCTGCCCTGACCAGTGTGGCTCAGTTGGTTGGACATCATCCTGCAAAGCGAAAGGTCACCAGTTGGATTCGCCGTCAGGGCACATGCCTGGGTTGCGGTTGGTTTTGATCAGGTACGTACAACAGACAGCCAATTGATGTTTCTCTCCTTTTTCTCCCCTCCTTTCCCTCTCTCTAAAAATAATAAAATCTTTTAAAACAAATGAAAGAAGTTCTATGAAGCTAAGCATTTTATTTTTAAGTATTTGTTAAAGGTTTTATTTACTTATTTACAGAGTGGGGAAGGGAGGGAGAAAGAGAGGTAGAGAAACATCAGTGTGAGAGAGAAACATCAATCAGTTGCCTTTCAGACATGTCCAGTAGGGGACCGAATCCTCAACCCATGCAATGTGCCCTGACCTGGAAACAAACCAGCGACCCTTCGCTTGCAGGACAATGACCAACCAACTGAGCCACACTGGTTAGGGTAAAGCTGAGCATTTTACCAAAGAACAAATAAAGTATTTAACTGCAAATACCTTGGGCGGGGGAACAAAAACAAAACACTCTAAACTTAAACAAGTGAAACACAGTTAATGCAAAGAGCTTAATCAAAAGAAAATCAACCACCTTGGAAGTCTTATCATTAAGAAACCATTCAATACACTATCTACATTACCATAGTACAATGCTAGGTCAGTAATTTTCAACCTTTTTCATCTCATGGCACATAGCTCATATAACCTAATTACCAAAATTCTGTGGCACAGCAAAAAAATATACTTTTTGCTGATCTGACAAAAAATAAGTATAATTTTGATTCATTCACACCAGATGGCTATTGTTTGTTGGTTGTCGTCATTTCTTTATTTGACAATCTAAGGGAAAAGAGGTCAGTGCCCCTGAATAAACAGTCAGGTATTGGCATGTTTTAAAAATTCTTGCAGCAGACCAGCTGAAAATCACCTTGCTAAGACAATTAGCGCCTATAAAAATACTTTGAGCTAACCAGCATTACTGAAAATACCTTTTCTGTAGTAGAGGTAACATCTAATTCTAATTAAGTCAGGCCACGAAGTAGCTACTTCCTAAATGATTCATTAATCACTCAGTAGTGCTGGTACTTTGCTAAGTGACAGACCTAGTTAAAGAGACAGCCATGAGTCCTATTTCTGAGTATCATAAGTTCAAGTAATGAACAGTTCTCTTGCCTTCTAGGCATTTAAAGCTAACAAAAACTTTTCATCTAAGAAAGATGATTTATCAAATTATCAATGAACAAAAACAGGCAGTCAAACGTAAAAGATGAAGCAAAGTGCTGAATAGGCTGATTACAGTGTTAGGAGCATTCAAAAATCTAGAAGAAAGATCCAGAACCAAATCTGGATTGGGAGGGGAACAGCGAAGAATGGGGAGATGAGACAGGAATGGTACTTTCAAAAAAAAAATCAAGAACCACTACTGGTTCCCCAAGGCTGCAGCACAATGACAAGTGGAGCTATGGCTAAAATATTGCACATCCCAGCTGCCCTCAAATGGTAGCAGGGGACTTGACTACCAGAGGAAGGGTGATGCTATATAAGGCAAATGTCAGGTGCGACTAGCCGAGCAACAAAAGACAGAAGCAAATGGTTCAGTGTATTCTAGGAAACAAAGTTAAACAGGAAACGGAATCCTTACCATGAAATGTTTCAGCAAGGTTAACATCATTTTCACTAATATCACCCACACCAAAATGTACTAATTCAAGTTCACACTCATGTGAAGCGTCATAGGTATCCATAACGTTCAAAATGGCCTCAACAGAACCATCAACATCACCTAAATGCAGCAATAGTTTAAAATTATTGGTGCTAAGGGTTAGGCATTAACAGATGCAAAAATGATGATAATCTATTAAAAATGCTAATGGGAATGACATTTACCACTAAATCCACTTTTATTTACGTTTAGCATTATAAATATCTACTCAATTTTATAAAGTATAATGAATCACATTTACATTTACAACATTTACAACAAAATCAGAAAGAAAAATGGTTACTAAGAAAATCTCTCCCAGAGGGAAGAGGTAAAAAGGGTGAAAGAGGTCAAATGGTACAAACTTTCAGTTATAAGTCATGGGGATGTAATATACAGCATGGTGACTACAGTTAATACTGTACTGCAGATTTGAAAGTTGCTAACAGAGATCTTAAAAGTTCTCATCACAAGAAAAAAAGAATCTGTAAATATGTATATTGATCAATGTTAACTAGGCTTCTTTCAGTGAACATTTCACAATATATACCAATATCGAATCATTATGTTATACAACTGAAACTAATATATATGTCAATTATACCTCTATAAAAATGTCTTCCCCAAAATACTGAGATACTTTTGGCTTAAATTTAAGAGCTCAAATTAATTGTGAGAATGAAGAAATACATATATTCCAAAAATGAGTTAAGTAAAATCTTTAAAAATAATCACCTTTAATAATTATAGGAAGTATATTTAAGTCTCTTTCCACTTTCTCTTTCGGCTTCAAGATAGTTTGTTCTTTTTTTTCTTGGTAATTTATATATGATCTCTGCTTCCAGTGCAAAGTGCCATACTTCTCACGGGCTTTCCGATGTGCTTCTTGGTGTTCCTTTCGTTTTTCTTCTATTATTTTTAGATCCTCTTTATTTTTCTCCTCTTCCTGCTCATATTTCCTCCACTCAACAACTTCACGTGCCCTTGACTTTACAGGGAAAAAAAAAGGCATTATTTAACTACATAGAAACTGGTAACGGCTGAGTTAAAAGCTTTGTATTTTTCCTCCACTATGAGTTTAATTACTCATATGAAACCACTAATTTTATAAGTGTCAAGAAACTTATAAAACTTTAATTTGGAGGCTTTGTGTATAATTGAAACTATTTAATTTAAAAATCCTATCTCAAATTTTAAAATATTCTATAGCCAAATTCTAAAAAGGCCCTCTTGGTCCCCTCACAGCTCCTTATAGTCTAGAATGTCTAATACTAGTTAATAATAAGTTAGCATTAATATACTTACTTGATATAACATTACAGATTGATAATTAAAATTATATCATATCTAATATATAGAAATCAAGCTTGATATACCTCAGATTCTACTTCAAGAATTTCATCTCCCGCAGAAGGGAGGTCTCTCCAGCCTATAATTCCCACTGGGATGCTGGGACAGGCCTCATTAATTGTTTTTCCATTTTCATCAAACATTAAGCGCACTTTTGCCCAACTCTTTCCAGCAACCAGAATCGAGCCTTTTCTCAAAGTTCCTCTTTGAATTATTGCTGTAGTAACAGGACTAAAATGAAAATAAAGGTATTTATTCTTAATTCCATAATTGGGATGTAATAGTACTTTCTTAAGTAGAGCAAAGATATTTTTATGAAACTTGGATATATATAATATGTACACATAGTGTTTATTTTACCACTTCTAAACTCCTCAGGCTGTTTTTCATACTATAAAAACATTTATTCACAATTGTTGAAAGGTGGAAGCAACTCAAATGTCCTTCAATGGAAGAATGGATAAAGAAAATGCAGTATATAAATACAATGGAACCTTAAAAAAAAAAAAAAGGAAATCCTGTTACATGCTACAACATGGATGAACCTCAAGATCATTTATGCTAACTAAAATAAGCAAGTCAAAAAGGACAAATCCTGTATGATTCCACTCATATGAAGTATCTAAAGTAGTTAAAATCATAGAAACAGAAAATGAAAAGGTAGCTGCCAAGACCCAGGGGAGAGGGAGGGAAAATTAGTTTCATGGATACAGCATTTCAGTTTTGCAAGATGCACAACAATGTGAATATACTTAAAACCACTGAACTGTTCACTTAAAAATGGGTAGGATGATTAAGAAGGTAATGTTATGTACATTTACCACAATTAAAAAAAAACCAGTTCTTATAAAGTTATGGTAATGGAAGATGCAAATAGCTGAGTGTTCTGACAGAATCCTAATCCCCTTCATTTAATTTGTTAAGCACTGAGAAGACTTCTTTTGTTGATAGGGAGGAAAATTAAAGGCAAGGATACCATTCCAAAGACTTTCCTATTTTTTATATTAATAGGTAAGGACATAAAGAATTTAGAAACCCTAAAAGACAACAATTGCTATTTCATTCCAATTTCTGTTAGACATGAAGCTTTGCCAGTCCAGTAAAGTGAGTGAGGATAAAAAAGTCAAACAAATTAAATGTTTAAGTTATTTAAATATGACAACTACATGTATACAGGCAGTTGTTATGATCCATTAATAACTGCATGTTTGTGTTCTGTGTGCTAGTGAAATAAAACACTTTTAAAAAATACTTTGAAAATATTGTTTATGGACAAACCATAACATGCAATAAAAATAACACATTATAGCATGATCAGTTCACAAAAACAACGCAACAAAATTATTAAAAAGAAAGCATTTTAATAGTCTTACCCTCTTCCTTTGTCTGTGAAAGATTCTATTACTGTACCTTCCACTGGACCAGTGGGGTCCGCTTTCAATTCTAACATTTCTGCAAGAGTAACTGTTGCCTCTGCCAAAGCCATCAAATTATCACCCTTTAACATAAAAGAAGTTGTTAATATACATTATCTGTAAACATCAGTTCAGAAAGCCAAATAATTCTGGACAATTATACTATATTTCTCTCTTTCTCTCTCTTGAGCCAAAGACTTTATTTCTAAATCTTCCACTTTGAAAAAATATTTCCATTTCTCTATTCTATCAGTGAACTTCATGGATTATTAGTTGATGAATTGATAGGAGTTATTTTCTTTTTAACTTTTTTCAATTTATTTTTATTGCTGACACTAATATATATTTATCTTTTTAAGCATTAAAAGCATGAATTATGCAATTGGGAGGAAGAAAGAAAGGAGGGAAGAAAGGCCGGGAGGGAGGGAGGGAGAGAGGGAAGCATAAGCAAGAAAGCCTGATTCAGGGGCAGATCTTACAAGAAACAGTGGCCACTTTTCTTAAGAATGGCCATTAGTGGCTCTTCTTAATACTCTCTCATAAACGATGCTGCATTCATTCTCTCTCTTCCTTCTGTCTCTGTTATAGTGTTTTCTTCCTTTCAGTTTCTTTACAATGGTACTTTACATTGAGGTTCTATCTCATGTGACAAGCTTTCATACCTATTTTTTCATTTGATCCACTGTAACCACCCAACTGTGCAAACCTAAAATATCAATTTACCTCCCTGGATCTCCTTTCTTCAACTGTAAAATGAAGGACTAGATTAGATGATTCTTCTATCTTTCATGATCTATGTTTACCATGCTTTCTTAGGGCTCCAAGATTACACAGCTGATTACACAGGTGATAGAACTAGACCTGATGGGCAAGGGATTTTTTCATTCTCCGTGTCAGCTGAGGGATTGCTCACAGTTGTTACAGAGTATAAAACAGAGACAACTGTAAACAAAATACTTTGCTTACCCATCTACAATACTTATTCCTAGAATTTTTTCCAATTTACGAAATGCTGCACTGGAAAACAGTGCTGGGGCTGTTTCTTTGCATAATGTAGACCTCTATATTTACCTTGAAAAAGGAGGTCTCATCTTACTTCCCTGCCCCTCTCCCAACTCGCTCCATCCCACAGGAACCATCTCTGCCATGTCTCCAGATCTGCCTAAGCAGCTTTATGTCTATCTACTCATTTCATCGTATCTGGGCAGAAAATGAAGCCATGTCTTTAAACATTTTAACCTTGCCATCTGGCTCTGAGTGTAATAGTGGAAAGATAACAAAGTAAGGCGGCATTTTATGAGTTTCAGAGAAAAAGAGGCAGGGTTTTACTATTAAAGGAGGCATAATTTGTTTTGTTTTTTAAAGATTTTATTTCTTTATTTTTAGAAAGAGGGGAAGGGAAGACGAAAGAGGGAGAGAAACATCGACCAGCTGTCTCTCATGCCTCCAACCAGGGCCCTGGCCCACAACCCAGGCATGTGCCCTGACAGGGACTGAACCAGCAATCTTTCCATTTGTAGGACAATACCAAACCCACTGAGACACACCAGTTAGGGTGAGGAGAGATAATTTCTAAGCATCTTGTAGGTAACAAATTTAGAAAAAGTAAAGATAAAATTAACTGAAAGAATGTGACCAAATACAGTACGATCCCTCAGTGAATGATCTTAGGGGGAAAAATGGTCTATTTGAAGAATAAACTATGGAATATAAGAATAAAAAAAAATTGCTTCTTAGCAACAACCTGCATAGGATAAGAAAATTGGAAAATGCTATCACAAAGCAGGTAGTAAGCTTCCTTGGTGTTTTTCAACTAGAAAACAGTAATTTGTAATTTAAAATAGAATAAAATTTATCATAAATAACATTATAAAATTTATAGCAATTTAATTCATAGAAACAGTATATCAATCACTTACAAACTGAACCCAAATGTTTCACCTTTGTATTAGGGAAATTTCTATTTGTTTAAAACTTTCTTGAATGCTCTACAACCTTTTTAGTTTTTATTATTAACTGGATTTAATTTCTGCTTAAAACAGTCTTTAGGCTACTAATACCCTATCCCCACATCATTCACCATTTAGTCTCCTCATTCTAAGTATCTCATAAAAAGAGCAACATTAGGTTTAAACCCAATTACCCATGAATCAGCTGTGTAACCCTGGATTGGGACTGAGCTTAACTTTCTAACTTTCTGAGCCTAACTTCTAATCTGCCAAACGAGGATGATACCAGCTTTGCCTAGTACCCAGAGAATTTTTAAACAAACACAGAAGTTATGTATGTCAAAATGTTCATTATGTATAATGTGCTATGAAGAACAGGATAAACATATCATCTATGCACTTACCGTTAGGGCAGAGACATGCACTGCTTGTACGTCACCTCCATAATCTTCACACACCACGTCATAAGCTAGCAGTTCTTTTTTTACTTTTTCAGGATCAGCCTCAGCTTTGTCACATTTGTTTATGGCAAGGACAATAGGTACTGAAAGACAAAGTTAAGAAGAGTTCAAACGATGACACCTTCAATTCCAGGTATTCGCAATGAAGACACCAACCTTTTCTGGCTTTCTCTTTACTCAGTGGATGTACTTATCTAACAAAAGACCTAAAAAGACCCAATTTCCGCACACTCTACTCTGCTTTCTACATATAAAGGATTCCAGACATGAAATGTCAAAATTGTAATGATAAACCAATTGTGAATTAAGAATAGACACTTAAGATGATTTAACACAAAACAAAAAGATGCGGTAGGTAGAAAAAGGCCTATCCTTAAACCTGAAAGCAAAATTAGCAACTATACTGAAGATAATCTCTGGAAAAAAATCAAGAGAAGATTCTAATGACACTAGATGATTTGCCTCTTCTTTCCAGGAGCTACTGACTCATTGTTAAAACGTAATATTTTACCCTGGGGTGAAATTAGGTATCGTTACTGTAAACTTTCCTTTAGGATTTACAGCAACTTTTTATTCACACATTTAGCTCAGTGACTGACACATAGTTATAGATTCTCGATAAATGTTTACTTAATGAATGAACCAAATAATCTTATAATCCACTTGTCATTACTAAACATATGCTCTCATAAGAAAAATCAACACAAAATTCTAGGAGATGCTTCTTTTGTTGGGTTTCACCAACTCTGCAATTTTCTCAAGTATCAAAGGAACAAAAATGGGAAACAGACACACAAAAAGCTACGCAATCTACAACTTACTACTACGAAAAAGTACATCCCATATTGATGAGCTGGAACTTAACAGGGACCAAGAGAATGGGTATAGAAAGCATGATAGAGATCTTCTGGTCAAGATTGTGGCATGGGTAAACACAGCTCACCTCCTTGCACAACCACATCAAAATTACAACTAGACTATAGAACCATCACTCAGCATCATCAGAAATAGAGTTGAAGGGAAGTCTGACAACTATGGAATTAAAGAAACCACATCCATCCAGACTGAGAGGAGGGGCAGAGATGGAGAACGGTCTGGTCCCATATCCACATGTGGTGGATAAAAATTCATGATCATGGTATCTCCCCTGCCAGGTAAGTGTATGTGGTAGATACAAATTCAGAAGGGCTATCTCAGGAACAAGGAGCCCAAGCCTCACACCAGGCATCCCCACCAGCCCAGGGTTCCAGTGTCAGGAAGATAAGTCCCCATAACTTCTGGCTGCAAAAACCAGTGGGGACTGAGTTGGTGGAAGAAACTCCTAGAGTCCCAAGCAGTTTCACTTAAAGAACACACGCACAGAGTTAATCAGACTCATTCCCTCTGAATTCAAGCTCTGGGGAAGCAGCTTGAAAGGCCACTGGTGGCATACAGGGAGGAGCTGAAATGTCTGGCATCAAGGGAGGAGCCAGGGGACAGCTTCCTCCCAGACAGAAAGGTAGGCAGAGGCTGTTGTCCCTATTCTGAGCCCTCCAAACACAGAGCCACAGAACTGACAGATGAGTGCCACATCTGAGACTCCATCAACCTGGCTAACACTGTTTGAACCTGCCTTGGAGATCCCCTGGGACTCCATCCCACCCAACTTATGGGCCCACCCAAGCTGTTAACCATGATTTTCCATATGAATGGCTGGTCTTGGCTCATGCTGCACAACTTCCTAAATTCTATCAAACAAGCGACAACTGGCCTCAATCAGCCCCAGCCCCCGTACCTCTTGCTAAGTGGCCCCAAGCAGGGCACTTGCAGCAGCCAGTCTAGAATCATAGCTTGGCTTCACCTGGGAATCTCCAAGCCCAGCACAAGTAGCAGCCACCTCAGATTGCTTAATAGTTCATGCACAGTGGCCTTGGGCAAAACATAGGAGAGGGCTGACCTTGGACTGCACCACCCTGGAAACCACAGAGCCTGTGCACCCAGTGGACAGCTATACTACCCTGACCCTGCACAGCTGATCCTCCATGGAGGGGGAGGCTGGTGGTCAGTGGTCACAGTCAGTCCTTGCAGCTGACTAATCTGGGTAAATCCCTTCCATTGACCTGCCAACAGCAATGAAGTTTCAACTACAAGAGGAGGGTGTACTCAGCCCACACAGAGGGCGCACCTCGAGTACCCAGCTTGGGTGACAGGGGATGCTGTGCCACAGGACCCCACAGGACACCTACTGTATTAGGCCATGCTCCCAAGTCAGGGAGTCATAGCAGCTCTACCAAATACACAGGAACAAACACAGGGAGGCTGCCAAAATGAGCAGACAAAGAAATATGGCCCAAATGAAAGAACAGAACAAAATCCAGAAAAAAAACTAAACAAAATGGAGATAAGCAATCTATCAGATGCAGAGTTCAAAACACTGGTTATTAGGATTCTCAAGGAACTTAGTGAGGACCTCAACAGCATAAAAATGATCCAGTCAGAAATGAAGGATACACTAATTAAAATAAAGAACAATTTACAGGGAAACAATGGTAGAGTGGATGAAGCCAAGAATCAAATCAATGATTTGAAACATAAGAAAGCTAAAAACCACCAATCAGAACAACAAGAAGAAAAAGGATCTAAAAAAACAAGGATAATGTAAGCAGCTTCTGGGACAACTTCAAACGTTCCAACATTCGCATCATAAGGGTGCCAGACAGAGAAGAGAAAGAACAAGGAATGGGAAATCTATTTGAAAAAATAAAAAAGAAAACTTCCCTAATTTGGTGAATGAAATAAATATGCAAATACAGGAAGCACAGAGAATCCCAGACAAGATGGATGCAAACAGGCTCATTCTAAGACACATCATAATTAAAATGCCAAAGGTTAAAGATAAAGAAAGAATCTTAAAAGCAGCAAGAGGAAAGAAGTTAGTTACCTACAGGGGAGTGCCCATAAGACTGTCAGCTGACTTCTCAAAAGAAACTTTGCAGGCTAGAAGGAATTGGCAAGACATATTCAAAGTCAAGAAAAGCAGGGACCTGTAGCCAAGATTGCTCTACCCAGCAAAGCTATCATTTAGAATTGAAGGGCAGATAAAGACAAAGAGCTTCCAAGACAAGTAAAAAACTAAAGGAGTTCATTATCACCAAATCATTATTAAATGAAATGTTAAAGGGACTTATTTAAGAAAAAGATCAAAACTATGAATAAAATGGCCAATAAATATATATCTATCAACGGTTGAATCTAAAAAACAAACTAAGCAAACAAGAGTGGAGAGACAGAATCATGGATATGAAGAGCATTTTGATAGTTGCCAGATGGGAGGGAGGTGTGGGGGAACGGGTGAAAAGGTATGGGGATTGAGAAGTACCAATTGGTAGTTACAGAATGGCCAGGGGGATGTAAAGTACAGTATAGGAAATGGAGTGGCTGAAGAACCTATACTCATGACATAGGAACATGAACAATGGTGTAGGGATTGCCTGAGGGTATGGGGGGTGCTGAGTGGGTGGGGGGCAAAGAGGGAAAAATTGCAACAACTGTAACAGCATAATCAATAAAATATAATTTTTAAAAAGTATATATAGAATTTATCACTTATCTTAATAAACTGCTTTGTTATGGATCTCTGGCAAATTTATCACTCTTTTTGTTATATTCCTTAAAATCATTAAGAACATAGTCCATTCCACAAACGCAATTTTGAGAAATTAAAAAGGAAAGAGAGTAACACTGAAAAGTAGAAGATCAGATTCCAAATGCAAACATGTTGCAAACAAACTGTAATGAGCAGAGCTCCTGCCACTCTTTTGGGTCTTAGTTTTTATGTTGTGAAATGAAAGAATTTGATTAAATCAGTGATTCTCAACCTTTTTTTTTCCTTACCAAAATGCCTAGGAGAATGTGATGCATCCATCAGGTACATTTTCTCAAGAGAACAGCACTTTAACAGTGGGCAAATTTTCATATCAGAATAAAAATGAATGTGCAGAGTGTGTGCCTGTGTTACAATTTTTAAATGGAGAAAAAAGGGAGAAAAAAAGCCAAGTAATTTTCCAAAAGTTTTGATCTTATACCTTTGACCAAATAAGAATTTACTTAAAGAATATGAGAAGAAAGTTTCTCTTTAGCAAATAATTCGAGATGAATAAAGAACAAGGAATAACAGAATTAGAATATCACTACTTTGAAACTTGTAATGAATTTACGTAATGGGCACATAGGGGTTTGTTATTCTCTTCCTACTTTTATGTCTATTCAAAATTTCCATAATAAAAAGTTATTTTAAAAGTTATTTGAGACTGCTGTAGTATTACACTATGCCAAGTAAATAGTACAGAAAAGACTGTACTTGTGATCACAAGTCCCAAATTGAATCCTGCTACACTGTTCTTAGTAGTTATGTCTGTGGGAAAACAATTCAACTCTCTTTGAGCCTTATCCATAAACGCAGGTATAATAATACTGAGATTACCATGAAGATCGAATGAGCTACATGTGCATTGCCCGAGAACAGTGACTTGTAAGTCTGCCATACCCACACAGTACCTTGAGCATCTTTGGCATGCTGAATAGATTCTACAGTTTGTTTCATTACTCCATCATCTGCAGCTACAACCAATATGACAATATCAGTGACCTGAGCGCCTCTGGCTCTCATTGCTGAGAAAGCAGCATGTCCTGGAGTATCAAGAAAGGTTATCTTTTCCCCAGAAGGTAGAGAGACTGTGGAAACAGAAATCCAAAAACAGTAAGGACTCAAATGTGTACTTCATTAATATGAAGGAATATATGCGACATAATAAAAAACAATTAATTCTTTAAAATAATTTTATTCCTTCCATTAATCTTAATCAGAACAATGGAGATCATAATTTCACAACAAAAAGTGATACCATACCAGTGAGATGTGTAGAGTTTTCTTTGCATGTAATAACTTCAAACTAAAACTCTTTATATTTCAAGAATATTATTACTTTCATAAATGTACCAACTGATATCCATTTTGGAGAGAGAATACACTGATAGTTGTATAAGCAGCCACCCTGCATCAGCAAACATCAGCTGCACAACTGCCTTGAACAACAAAGGCAATTTAGTATACAATTGGTAGCTCAGGATCTGAGTCCAAAAGCCTTGGGTTTAAATCCTAGCTTTGTCACTTACTAGCTGTGTACCTTGACCAAGTAACTTAACTTAAACAAGTCTCAGCCTCCTTCCCTATAGGTAGGAATATTTAATATCTACCTAATGGTAGCTATTATTTTTAATTATTATCAATAACATTACCACAATCTAACACTGAAAAATTTAAGTTCATTAAACCAAACTAAGAATGGGCTAGAATAAAAAGGTAATATAATTTTCATCTTATAGAATGTACAAAATAACCTTTATTAACCACCAGTCCTACATTTCATCAAACTAATGACTTTACCCTTAAGCCTTCCTTTTACTTTGAATTTGTATATTTCATACAATAAAGAAAGTAATATATGGAGTTACCAAGCACATTGTAAGGTAATTTGTGTTCATACCAAGAAAGGCACCAATGTGCTGAGTGATGCCTCCAGCTTCCGTTGCTGCAACTTGAGTTTTTCTCAGTTTGTCAAGTAACGTCGTTTTCCCATGATCAACATGACCCATTATTGTAACAACAGGGGACCTTGGGGTTAATAAAGCTGGATCTGCCTGGGGCCTAAAATCAATAGCAAAGGAGTTTCATTTCTTAAACATCACAACAGTTTATAGCCAGTGAACTAATTTGCAGTTATCTCTGTGAACTACCATTAACAATAAAAACCAACCTTCAGCTTTGATTAGACATACTTTCTTCTTCTACACATTCAATGAATTATGACAAAATATATGACTACCTATCTACAGCTGGCATCTTCATAATGACGAGCAGAACTGAATAAATATTTTAAGTTCAGGATCAATATACATACTTGGAAAACTAGGAGAAATAACCCTCAGAGTTTTATAATAACCTAAACATATTGATGCTTTAAGTACTTCGAAGAAAAGCTTAACATCATTTTAATTGCAAAAGAAACTTTAAGGCAACTCTTCCCATTAAAACTATGTGGTCTCCTTTCCCCATTATACGATTATGTTTTACCTTCTCACAGCATCTTTATTTTCTCTGACTTTGTCCTTTTTTAATTTGCTCCATTTTAACTTCATCCCTGCCTTCTTTATTACTTCTTTGATCCAGACTTCATCTAAATGTGAGTCTGCTTCTAGTGAATCTATGTTGATAGCAGTGTTCATTAAAGCTTCATATATATAATCTGGTAAAATAAGAAAGTGATCTCTATTAATAACTGTCCATATAAACAGTACACTCAGTCAGAGGAATAACTATATAAGTTATCAATTTCTCTAAAGTTAAATCACAAAGAAGCTAAAAAGAAAATGATCTTTAAAATATAATGCATTTATATAAATTGGAATTTCTGCATATTCATAAATATACAGAATATTTATAAACCTTATGAATCATCTGAACCATCAGAAAAACATTCAATTGCATATGTATATATTTAGTATTGAGTAATTTATCATAGTCTAGTTCTTTGAAAAGCTGTGCTTACTTATGTCATACATATACAAATGTGTGTATACAAACAGTCAATTCTTGTTATTCACAGCAGTTATGTTCTATAAAACCTTCATGAACACTGAATATTAAACCATTGCTCTAAGGGAAAAATACAGGGTTAGGTTCCTTTAGCCTTTAGTCACAAAATTTTCATCAGCTGATCAATACATACCTTGTTTTAAGTGTTTGTTTAAAGACATTTTATTTAATATACTATGTTGTTGATTCATTAACCCTGAACTCATGGCTAGCAGCACCATAACCACTAATACCAGAAGGAGGCTTATCTAAACATCTATTTTCTCTGTACAGCACATTACAGTCTTCCTGTAGTTAGTAACACTAAACTCCAGCACTATGCTCAGGGGCTATTTTAAACAGCAAAATCACCAACAATAAGTACAAAAATGCAAAACACGTGGCACTAAATAAACCACAAAAATGACACCTGTTTACAGTATGAGAGCTGAAATAAGAAGGCAGAATGTTGTCTCATTGAACCTTAGCTAAGAATGTGTGATCAGGCAACTCAAAATTTTCACCCCTCTGCACATGTTGGGGAATGACTGCAGAAGCGCTGTGGGTATTGATTTTGGGTCTGCAAATACATTTTAAAGAATGCACCAATACAGAATCCCCAAATGATGATGATTGACTGTATGTACATATACATAGTCATATGTACATATACACATACACAGTATCTTAGCATACACACAAGTAATTAATTTATGTTTATCTATTCAGGGTCCAAAAAGTCTTAAAATATATGAAAAATATTTACTTGTTCTTTTTTAATTTTATTTAGTGTGTTTTGTTTTAATTTCAGTCATATTCCCCTATGGATGATAAATTAATGTACCTATTATGATAATAAAATAAGTAGTTTTATGTTTCTTCATTTATGTTCAATCATCTTATAAATATATTTTGAAAGAAAGAGATGAAATATACACCAATTCAAAAGAACCTATGCACCCCAATGTTCATAGCAGCACAATTTACAATAGCCAAGTGCTGGAAGCAACCTAAGTGCCCATAAGTAAATGAGTGCCCATAAGTAAAAAAAAACTATGGTACATTTACACAATGGAATACTATGCAGCAGAAAGAAAGAAAGCTACTGCTCTTCGCGACAGCATGGATGGAACTGGAAAGCATTATGCTAAGTGAAATAAGCCAAGGGGTGAAAGACAAATACCATATGATCTCACCTATAAGTGGAACGTAATCAACAAAACAAACAAGCAAGGAAAATATAACCAGCAACATTGAAAGAAAAAAGAAACCAATAGAATCAAGAGGGAAGGAGGGAGGGTGGTGGCGGGGAATGGGAAGGGAAGGGTCAAGTCAAGGAACATGTATAAAGGACCCATGGACAAAGCCAAAGTGGGAAAGAGTTAGGGGAGTGGAGGGAGGCAGCGGGGAAGTGGTGGCAGGAAAATGGAGAAAAATGTATTTGAACAATTAAAAAAAAAAGATATGAATTAAAAGCATCCTAAAATGAATAGAACATCACACTAAAAGAACATCCTACGCAGAAGCATTCTGATAAATGTTTACTCAGAAGCCTTTCCACCGCCCCCAAAAATTCCTGCCCTGGCTGGATGGCTTAGTTGGTTAGAGCATTGCCCGCACATGGGAAGCTTGTGGGTTCAATCTCTCATCAGGGTACATGCAACAATCAACCAATGCTTGGGGTGGTAAAGACACAATACAATAATAGATGACGTATTGTAGAATGGTATACCTGAAATCTATATAATTTTATTAACTAATGTCTCTCCAATAAATTCTAATAAAAAACAAAGATTCAATGAAAGAATGCATAAATGAGTAAAACAATAAATTGATGTTCCTCCCTTCCTCTCTCTCAAGTCAATATATAAATTTTTAAAAAATTTCCTGATTTATGGCATTTCCTAATTTCAATGGTGCAAATACCATAGTTAACTTCAAGCTACCAACATGAAATCACTAAACCCAGAGATGGAAAGAAATACGCAGTAGCACACTATTATTTAGTGTTTCTAATGTTTAGGTAACATATGCATGAATAACCTCAAGAATACAGATAATAGTAAAATGCAGTAAAATATTTAGGAAGTGAAGAGTTTTGATGAGTGTATATTATATTCGTTTATCATTTAATTTTTTAAATGGCTGCATTCAGCAACCAGCCCCCATAATCCTCTTAATTTAGTGACTGGCTCACAAAGTGTTGCAAGTCCCAGCACATCACTGACAATACTCCACAATAATGCAAAAACCCTTTCCTATGTATCTCCTTACCACATCCTTTCCCAAAAAAACACATTTTAAGAATGATATAATTCAAATTTTCTATATGGATACACTATCAGAAAACAATAAAACTCCTTCTAAAAAAAAAGGTTATAATGAATACAATTCTGTTTCTAACAATACTAAAAATCCCTAGTAACCCAGTAAGTACAGTTTTCCAATATGTTTGCTAAACTTTTGAAAGGTAGCTTGATCATAGCGATAATCTTTTTCCCATGTATCAAGTACATTTAGTATTGACATGTTATTTTATTTTTATCCAAGACTTAAATAAATATTAACATGTACAAAAGCACCCAAAGCATTTCAACAAGAAATATTTTATCAGGTTATTTTAATTGACCCAGGGAAGGAAAAGAAATGTACTCAGACTGCTAATACAGTAGTTAAAAATATTCACCATATAAATACCATGTTTAATTCAAAAGATATGTGCATATAATATTAAATAAGCTTCAAATAGATCAGTTTGGGTTTAGAGCATTGATCTGTGGCATTAAATTTATATTTTAATAATTCTATTTATTTAGTGATACAAAGGAATTACTATGGTTATGAGAATGTGTGTGGTAATGTTTAAAAAAAAGAATCCTCACCTTTTATCAATAGATACAGAAGTATTTATATATCAAATGATATATTAATAATTGTCACTGGCTTAAACATACATTATGCTTATTATTCTATTATTTCTGCTTTTGTATAGGTATGAAAATTGCCAAAATGAAGTTTTAAAATAAAGTTTATTATTAATATTATTTATAAAATCATATCAATACACTTTTCCATGGGAAAATTCTGAATGATATAACCATATCCATTTGTTCTCTTAATGTTTTCTGGTTATCAAATGAATACATAATGCAACCACAAAATTATTAGCACACGAAACAGTGTGCTAATTTTCTATTCTTTGTCAAGATGTACATGAACAAAGAATGGTAACACTTTCAGGTAGAAAACATTAAAATTCTAGTTCTGCTGTAGTTTACAAAATAACAATTCTGGAGAGATAATTTGGTCTGTGCATAGGAAGAGCACGGGCTCTGAAGCTGTATTCCCAGGTTCAAATCCTGGTTCTACCACATACTAGGTGTGAAATCCTGGGCAATTAATTATACTCTCTATACCTCAGTTCCTCAACCTATAAATGGGGATAATAATCATACCTACAACTAGTACACTGTGAGAATAACAATTAATAAATATAAAGTATTGGTACCAGTAAGAGCTAAATAAATATGAGTTATTATTATTATTTATTTTTTCCAAAACTCTGAATCACTTGTTACTTTATTTTGCTACAATCATGAACTAGTTCTTGTTTACTGAAAGCTTTTTAATTTTTTTCTTTTTTTAATTAAATTCATTGGGGTGACACTGGGTTAATAAGGTCATATAGGTTCCAAATGTACATTTCTTTGATACATGACCTGTACATTGCACTGTGTGTCCACCACCCAAAGTCAAATAATCTTCTGTCAGTTTATAATGAAAACTCAAATTTTGTTCCAAATATCCTAAATTGGTAATAAATACATCAATGGTGCAATGAAGGAATAAAAAAATGATAAGGATGCTATACACTTATAAATAAAAAAAGTATTATTAGAAGTTGTGATTAATGCTATGAATATTTTTCTGCTGGCACTACAGATATTGTTAAAATTAGTGAAAAAAGGAAATCATAAAATTATAGAAAAACAAAGAGAAAGTAAATGAATATAAATATGGTCCCTTAGTCCAAAGACACGCTTTGGACTTAATCTTATACCCCCCAAATTTTCTGAGACAGTTTAGTTCAGATAAGAAAATCATTTCCACTTTTATTAGAAGCAAAGTCTTAGAGAATTACATTTGGCAAAGAGCCAAGAAACAAATTAGAGTATGTGACATAAAGTGAAAAATATTGGAATGACTTAAAAATTTTTTAACTGCCAGTCTAATTTTTATCCTTGAATGCTTTAGTCTCATTGCAAATAAAATACCAGGTATTCCAAGTTTCCATATTTCTTCTTATAAAATTATGTGGCTCACCTTCATCCTTTTCCATTGCTTTGGCCAGCTCCTCAACAGTCATTCCAAGCCATACCTCCACCTCCTTCTTAGATTTTGGTGAAGATAACTGAGATTTCCGTGATCTTCCTTCCTATCAAAAATTCAGAATGCATGGAAAAGAAGGAAGAAAAACTTTTAAGTGACAATTTATATTTATTCTGGAATATCTACTACAGCTTCTATTTCAATTAATACTCCCATAACAGTTAAATCTCAGCCTAAAATTAAAAGTCCTACATTCTTAATTTAATGTTATACACCATTTTCCAAGTAATCAAATTCATCAGCATTACCAACTAGAACTTCCCTTCTTCACAAAGATTTATTACCTGGAGTGTAGCATTATGGAATAATGATTCTATAAATGACAAAATATTCAAAACGAACTTCTACTCATGGCTCTATGCACTTTCATTTCAGACGAAATATTACACTAATGACAGAAATCTTTAACTACCTTCTTTGTTACTATAAGCCTATATTGAGATAAAGCAGTCCCGAGGAGCGTGTCTGTCTGCCAGGGCCGGGCGTGCTGCTGAGCTGCCCATGCTGGGTAAGCTGATGAAAACACATGCCTCCACTGTGCTAACGTTCTTCTTTGACCTAGGCTATGCAGCTGTCTACAAAGGGTGTGAAATCGCAGCAAATTCTCCAACTTCATCATCTTCTGGCTCATGTTTCTCCTAGAAAAAAAGTTTTAAGGTAATATTTTCATTAATATTTAAATCAAGTCAGTGGATATGAATTGGATATCTACTACATGGAAAGCAATGCACTAGAGTTACAATGAAGAAAACCAGGTTCCTGCCCTGAAAGAGCTCAGTCTAGCCAGAGTTGGGATTCCATACTAACTTTCTAGACATTAAGTATTACTATTGTTAATGTTCCTACCATGATAGAATGGAAATACAATAACAAACTTATAAAGGGCTATTTTTTCACTCTTGAAAAACATCAACTAACCAAATCAAAAATAGAGTGATTTTTCTAAAATGCAAATTTGAACTCATCAGCTCTCTGCTAAACACCCACCAATGCCCCTCACTAATCACCAGTTTAATGTACAATTTCAAAACACGGTATGTAAAGATTCATTATCTGCCCTATGCTGATCTCACTTCATCTTTCTTAAACTCTTATAGTCCCCTCACTCCTACCTCCCAGGCTTTTATTATTCTTACCCACCTGTAATCTCCAAAGGTTTGTCATCTAATTTGGACCTTTGCAGAAGCCCCCTCTACTTGGAATTGTCTTTGAACATTCACCATTTTTCCCTGTTCCCCACTGCCCTATGATGCTTTAGAGAGGAAAGAAGGTACCCAATAATATATCTATTAAATAATGTCTTTTGAGTATCATTCTTGGGATGAAAGAAGAGTTTGGGAGAATACTGCAACAGGACTCAAAAGTATTGTTTAGAGCTCAGTGTATAGTTCTTTTCCTCCTTGAGACTTTTTTTCCTTCTGCTTCCAAGCCTGCATTTCTAGTTTCACTTTTCAGTTTTTAAGGGTAGGGACAACTAAACCAATGTAAGAAGTGCTTGTTTTCTCCTCAGCAAACATTTCCTGAGCACCAACTTCCCCAGGCAGTGTCTTTGAGGCTTTTGGTTCAAAGTTTAATGAGCAGCATCCCTTCCTTCAGAGTTTACTGTCTTTAAAGTGTTCCAATATGATTCTCAGGCACATTAAACACCTTTAAACACCTCAAGAATGGCACATTTTAAAAATCCTACTTAGGTACAAGTGTCTGGACTAAGAAGTAAACAGTACTCAGGAAGCATAGGATTCCTTAGGGAGGAAAATAATTTTAATGAGTCTAAAATCAGATTTGACAAGGACACACATTAACGGGGTAGGAGGAAAGGCCTTACATGGAGATTAACTAGGGCGCAGATAGATAATTAATGCTGGAATTAGAAAAACATTGAGGGCAATAATCCAAATATCAAAATTGGAAAGCACCTTACTTGCTACTAACTCCAAGCCCCTCATTTTGCAGAAAAGTAAAATGGAGCCCAGAGTGCTCAAAAAAAAAAAAACCCTTCTCCAATGTCATACCGCTAGTTCACGGCAGTCAGGACTAGAAGCCAGGCTTTCGACACCCCATTCGGTGTTCTCTCGCCTCACCGCGGGGACATCCACTGAATTTGGAAAAGGTTGCTGGAAATCCGTAGTTGCACTGGTGGAAACGTCTGAATATAACAGTTGGAAGCCTTGGAACTTATCTTAAAGGCAAAAAGAAGTCACTGTAGAAAAAGTACGGATGTTCGGTGGCTTCGCCTGGAACCCGAACCCAGAAAGCCCTGGGCACAAGGGAGGCTGGGACTGAGGTCCGCACCTGTCACAGCGCTTCTGGTCGCACACGGCTTCGGTAAGCCTACAGGAGGGTCACGCAGGGAGTAACTACATCATGGAAAAGCTTCCGAAAGCGCAGTGTTTATGATTTGTGCCACTGACACTTGGGGCCAAACAGTATACGCCACCCGGGACGACCCGGCTGAGGGACCCCGCTCACTTAGCTTGTACACAAAGCCCGGAGTGTCTGGGTTCTGAGACTGGAAGATCACCTTCTGGACCCGGGAAAACTGACTGTCCGTCAGTACGTCTCCGAAAAGGTCCCCGCCTGGCTTCCGGTGCCGGCGGAAGCGGTTCTTCCCGCAATTCGGAACTCCGAATTCGGAATAGTCGCTCTTGCAGCCGACACCGAGGGACGCCCTGCAGGAGCGGCGCTAGTTCAACCTGTAGAGTCTTCCCAGGGTCAGCGACGCGTCGGAAGTGCATTACTGCTCTTCTGGGACTTTGAGCGCCTGGGTGCCTACCGTGGAGGGAAAGTTAAACGGGGAAATGTGGGAGAAATGATAGGTTCTTACAAAGCACCTAACTAGGACAGAATACCAGGGAACGTGGTGGTAGAACCAGTTAGTACTGTGTCAGGAGCACCTTCTCTTTCAAAGGTCGTCTTGTGTGGGTAGCATTTTAAGCAGTATAGCCGCAGTGCTTTGCAGTCCCTGTTTATTCTCTGTTGGGGGACGTTGTGTAAACTCGAGCCGCCATTCTTCAGTATGGTAATGATGTAGCTACTTCATAGAATTAGCAGTAAGGTTTATAAGAGCACCTGGTTCGTAATAAAGTTTGTTGTTGTGATTATTATGGCTTCCTCCCAGAGCATTTCCACACTTTGGACATGTCTTTTGGCCCCTTCCCCTTAACCACAAACACCACCTATTCTCCAGTATAACTTGTTTTGTCTCTGTCCTTGTACCAAGGCTAATGATATGGTATAGAAGAGTTTCTTATTCAAAAGCATACTTAACGAGAGGGGACCCCCAGAAAACGGGAATTCTAGTCCGGAGAATGGTCCCCTTGTAATATATTCTTTCCTCCACCTCCAGGTGCCTTGTAGGAACCCGTATGTATCAGTGTACCAGTTGGCTTAGTTGTGAGAGGCTGCGTTCGGGCTTCAGTGAATTTATTTATTTATTTATTTATTTTGAGACTCTTTCAAGCACTTGTCCATTGAATGATGGGTGATTTAACAGCGCACTTGCCCACACACGCTTTGTGTTGAGCAGTTTTTGACCAAAAATGATATGACCTTTGTGCCCTACCCTTCTTTGTTATTCACCAGATCTGTTGGTAGTGACTTTTTGTTTGTTTGTTTCCTTGATAAAAAAAAGTCCTCAAAGGGAAACATTTTCCTATGTGGAAGAGGTAAAACAAGAACAGTGGAAGCACTAAAAGGTATCAAAATCCACAAGTTCAAAAACTGTTTTGAGCAGTGGAAAAAACGTCTCCATAGGTGTATTGGCATCAAATGGAGAGTACTTTGAAGGTGACTGACGTTTAGACATGTAAGAATAAATACAGAATTTTTATAAATAAATTCTGTTTTGGGGGGGTGGATCCCCTAGTTCTGTTATCTCCCTTCTATAGTTTGACCTTCTATCTCATACCTCCTCCTCTTTTTATTTACTTATTGAGTTTAGAGAGAAAGAAACTGATTTGTTGTTCCACTTATTTGTGCATTCATTGCGTGTTTCTTGTATGTGTTCTGACCAGAAATGGAACCCATAATCTTGAGTATGGAGAGGAGGCTCTAACCAACTGAGCTACCCTACCAGGGCACCCCCCCACACTTTTTTATGTTTGCTTCCCCAGTGCCTACCACAAAGGTATGCACTCAGTATTGCTGAATGACTGAAGGGGAATCTGTTTTGGAAATCTTTTTAATGAACCTAATACTCACACACTTGAAAACAACTGGAGTTCATTCTAATGCTATCATTTTACTTACCATTCACAAATACCCACTGAAGTGCAATTTTTGCAAGGAATTGTTCTTTGCTCTCTTATTTACCTTGCCAAGCAGTTGAGAAACAAGCAGGAATTGGTTGGTAAAACATCAATGTAGTGATCATATCTTTCCCCGGTATAAAAGTGAAAATAATTAATACTTTTCTAATTATGAAGATAACACATGCTAATGTAGCAAATTCAAGCATTATATAAAAAATATAGAAAGGGTTAAAAAAAAAAAAAAAGATGAGGTCAATTAAAGGAACAGAAGAGGCAACCTGAAAGAGCTCCCAATGGCCAAAGATGGGAATGTTTGAGTCACAAAATAACATAGTATTGGCTTATGACTCAAAGTATCAAACAAGTATACATATGTTTACATACATATGTTTATATCAGTATATATACTGATATAAATAAATATCAAGTAAATAAATAATGAGGCAGAAGGGACAATTCCAAGTAATACATGTGTATAACTTCCACTAGGGGGTAAAGTTTAATTTCTCTCCTTTTGAGTGTGGGCTGAACTTAGTGACTTGCTTCCAAAGAATAGAGTAGGGAAAGGAGAAAATAGTGACTTCACAGAAGAGAATGCTTGCTTCTCCAATTAAGCAAGGTGAACATCACCAGTTATGTCATGTTGATATCATGTACTCCCTGAAATGTTGTGATGGTGATACTCCATCCATCCCTTACGGTATCCTTCCCAAAAGTCTATAACTCCATTCATGGGGAAAACATCAGGCAAGCTCAAACTGAAGAGCACTCTACAAAATACCTAACAGAACTCTTCAAAACTGTCAAGGTCATAAAAAGCAAGAAAAGACTGAGAAACTATCACAGATCAGAAGAGACTAAGGAGGCATGATGACCAAATGCAGTGTGGTATCCTGGATAGAACCCTAGAACAAAAAGGCACATTAGTGGAAAAAGTGAAGTCTGAATAAAGCCTGTAGTTTAGTAGTTAACTTTAATCCAGTGTTAATTTCTTAATTTTCACAAATGTATTATAGTTAATACAACATGTTAACATGAGACAAAAGCGGGTGAAGGACATTTGAAAACTCTCCACTTTGCAACATTTCTGTAATTAAATTTATTTAAAAATTAAGTTTATTTTTTAAAAGAAAGTGAATCAAACCTTAAATCTACCACCTCTGCAGAAATAACCACTTTTATTATTTTTATGAACATCATTTCAGTTCTCTCTCCACATAAATACATGTACACATACAATTTTATATAAATGAGATTCATACCATAAAGGCTGCTTTTTATCTTTACAACTTAACTGCAAATAATGTTCCCTAATGCCATGTCCTTGGTGAAAGCCATATCTCAGAACTATGAAATGATAGGCGATAAAAATCAATGAGCAAAGTTCAACCCAAAAACAGTAAAAAATAAAATAACAGAAAAGCAACTATTGTGCTGCCATCCCTTGCTTGTGTTACCCAGCAAAAGGTCTGATGTTGGTTCCACCTTTAGCTTACCCTCTACCAACTTTTTCTTGCCTTTCAAGAGTTTGGCTGAAATCTCCCTTAAGGGGTTAGGTCACTTCAATATCTAAACCACTTCGAGTTCTTGGTAACAATTAGGGGTAAACTGCCTTCCACAAGAGGAGCAAGGGGTGAATTGCTGCCCTGTGCACTTGGGCACAACAGTACAAGAAGGAGCTATAGCCACCTCACTGGGCTTGTCCTAGGAAGAGGAAATCACAAGGAGCAACACAAGAACTAAGTGTCTTCCAAAGAGAAGTTGATCAAGGCTGCAGTGAGACAGTTCAAATTTACAAGACTTGTATCTGTTTTGTTTTCTGTCTCAGCTGTCATATGCTGGCTTCACAAAATAAAGCAAAAACCCTGCAATATAAATTGTTAGAGAAACAGTGCCAGGATTTTTAAAACTAGAAAATACTTGAGAACCTGAATCGTAGCAATCTAAAATAATCAGTAATAGTCATAATCATAGCTATCTTTCTCACTGCCAGTTATATACTAGTCATATAAATATTTTATTACATTTACTATTTTGCACAGCAGTTGTTCTTTGCACATTAGCAGGTTTGAGGTCCACTGATGACTTAGTTTTCCTTGACTCTGATTTGACAAACACTCCCAATGACAAATTGGTAACAGAGATCACATTTCGGTGGTCAATTTATTTTAAATATGTGGCTTTGCAGAAAATTGCTAAATTGTATAATAATAATAATATGATGTACTAAGAATGAGGCATTGTTCTTAATGCTTTATAGTTCTCATCTCATAACACTGCAAGACTGAATGTCTTAATTTTTTGCACACCAATTTTAACAGACTAGAGGAATTGCATGCATATCACTGAAGAAGTTAAGTGACGTGTCCAGGTCACATCCTTAGTGATTGATGAGAAGGACCTAAATTCATGTCTCTTGATCCCAAGGCTGTTTCTTAACCACTGCCATATTTGAAGTTGAATTAAAGATCTTTAAGGTCCCAACCAGCTTTGAGATTTTACCTTTTGAACATTTTAATATTAGCATTTTTTCATTTAAATTTGATATCAACCTGTACTCCAGGATATATGGTAAATCTTTGCGTTTCCATTAGTATTTCAGCTGTTATTAAAACAACAACTATCTTCATGGAAAACAATAAGAGTGACACTTTGTATAATACTTGTGGAAAATATGACATTACGTTATCTCTTTACCACTGACATGCAAATTACACAAAGATTTTCTGAGGGTTTCCTCTTGAGTCTCATCAAATTATACTTCACTGATTTCTTCTTACACAATTACATCTCTTAAAAATGCTTTTTTTGGTTACAAAGTCTTAGGTTTCTTTTTATTAACTTTATTGGGGCATAATTGACAAAAATTGTAAGATATTTAAAGTGTACATGGGGTGATTTGATATACTACACACTGTGAAAGGACTCCCCTGAGTTAATTAGCACATCCATCACCTCATACACTTTTACCTTTTTTCCCCTTTTGGTGAGACCATTTAAGTTCTACTTTCTTAGAAAATTCCAATTATACAATAAAGCCAATAGTCATCATCTTATACATGAAGTCCTCAGACCTTATTCATCTTATTAACTGAAAGTTTGTACCCTTTTACCAACCTGAATTTCTTATTCCTCGTTCTTGTTCCAGCTCTTCCACTAACTAGTATTAAGACTTTGAATAAAATGCTTAACTGTTTTATTGAATTGAACTGAATAAGCCCCAAGTCCCTGCATGTTAATCTGAGGTTATTATTGAGATTTTCTCCCTTCTCCACAGAATCATGCAGGAACCTGAGACTTAGGAGCCAGGCAACTGG